AGTGCTCGAGTCGTGTGCTCTGACGCCTTCGCTTGCGTTTGCAGTCATTGACCACCGATTGTGCCTCTGATTTGTATTGACTGAACCCGAGTTTGTCCAAAGCGTTCAACACGTGCTCCGCAGACATCGTCTTCTTCTGCTGCGACTCGCAGATAGTGTTGGCTTCGGTGGTAATGCAGTGAATGAATTCGGAGCAGCACTGGAGGATGAGCTCGCGGGAGTCGTTGGCCACCCGGATGTCTGGCAGGAGTTCCTTGATGAGCTTATTCATGGCCGCCCGAGGGATCGTCAGTTCCTCGTCCTCCTTCTCCGTCGACGCCATTCCTCCGCGGTTTGCACCCAACTATCACCACCAGTGCGAGTAAGAGTCTGTGTGTGGGAGCACTGCGTGTAAACAATGTGTCACCTGTCATACAATGGCACGATTGTGGACAACTCTTTGTATTGTGGACACCAAATGATCATCACATGGACACCAGTGACGGCCAAATGTCACTCACATTGTGTTCACTGAATGTATGAATCGTTGAATGCATCGAAATGTGAGACCAATTGTGGGCAAAGGGTTCACAGCATTATCTAATGAAATGCTTGAGAAAGTCAAAACAAATCCATAAAAAGTATTGAAAATCATTGAAAACTCAGTCATTGTATAAATGGTTGGCTTTTGAGCCAATCGTTGCACTCATCCATCACTCCATTCAATGANAAGGGATACAAGAAAGTAGACGAATATATCGCCAAATTAAGAGACGGAAAGTTAGAGTCAATGGCCGGACGATCTCCCGAAGAAACATTGGAATCAATGATTAATAAGGAATTGTCTGAGATTCGAGACCACGCGGGAAAGGCGTGCGTCAAAGAACTCGGAACTAAAAACTCTCCGCTTTTGATGGCAATGTGCGGCTCTAAAGGATCTCTTATTAATGTCTCTCAAATGGTGGCCTGTGTTGGGCAGCAAACCATTAGAGGAGAGCGCGTTCCCGACGGCTTTGGTGACCGAACTCTCCCTCATTTTGGACACAAAGAGAAGTCTCCGCTCGCGAAGGGATTTGTAGAAAACAGCTTTTATTCGGGACTCACGACAACTGAATTCTTTTTCCATACAATGGCCGGAAGGGAAGGACTGTTAGACACAGCCGTCAAGACTGCGGAAACCGGTTATATGCAGAGACGCTTAGTTAAGGCGCTCGAGGATCTGGTTTCCCATTACGACGGATCCGTTCGAAACTCTTGTGGAGATGTTATTCAGTTTATTTATGGCGACGACTGTCTGGACCCGTCTAATATGGAAGAGAGCTCTCGACTCATCAATTTGGAGCGTCTTCTTCAACATACATGTGCTGTCCATTCGTGTAAAGAAGAGCCGCCCCTTTCATGCCATGAAATTAGAGAATCGTATGAAAAACAGATGAATGAAATGAATTCAAATGTTTCCTCAGATTTCAGGAAAGAGTTGAAAGTATTTTTGGAGAACTTTATAGAAAAACTCGACAAAATTCAGATGCGTTTTGATAGTTATTGTGATAATAAAGCGGTGAAAGAAATCCAGAGATTAACGAAAACACAACTCCAAAAGTTTTTGTTTGCGTGTGGGGACAAGTACTTGAGGGCTCGCATAGAGCCGGGAACAGCTGTCGGTGCCATCTGTGCTCAGAGTATTGGAGAACCGGCCACTCAAATGACACTAAAGACGTTTCATTTCGCTGGCGTCGCCTCAATGAACATCACTCAAGGAGTTCCGCGAATCAAGGAATTAATTAACGCCAACAAAACCATTTCGACGCCAATTATTTGCGCCATTCTTCAGAACAATACGAACCCAGAGATGGCCAGAGCTGTGAAGATGCGCATCGAAAAGACCACTTTAAGAGAGGTCTGTGAATATCTGGAAGAAGTGGTGACCAGAGATGACTGCTTTGTTCTCATCAAGCTATATATGGATCGAATCAAATTGCTTAACGTAACGAATGATTTGATTTCAATGAGTTGACCACAAAATGTTAAACTTATAAATTTCTTTCTGTAGTTAGAAGTAAACGCTTATTCAATACAGGAATCGATTGCAAAGCAATTAAGAATATCTTTGAATAAGATATCTATTGTGGACGACGAGGAGTCGATGCTTACGGTTTCGGCCATTAATACCGACACCTGGACTCTGAGAGAGGCCTTGTGTAAGGTTGTGATCAAAGGCTGTGATAAAGTGAGACGAGCGGCCATTCGTGACAATAGCGGGGAATACTATCTCATGATTGAAGGCGAGGGACTGCGAGATGTTATGGCCACCTATGGGGTGGACCCCAGAAAAAGCTATTCTAATAACATTATGGAAGTGTCGCACACTTTGGGCATCGAAGCCGCGAGAACTATGATTATCAAAGAGATTAAGTCAACGATGGAAAACCACGGCATCAGTATTGATGAAAGACATCTCAAACTATTGGCCGATACCATGACCTATAAGGGAGAGGTGTTGGGTATCACTCGCTTCGGTCTCGCGAAGATGAAGGAGTCGTCATTAATGTTGGCATCGGTTGGCATACATTTTGTTGAATATTTGAGACATTTACTCAATTTATTGATTATTATTTATAGTTTGAACGGACAGCTGACCACCTATTCGATGCGGCCTATTATGGACAGGTAGACCACATACTGGGTGTTTCCGAATCGATCATATCTGGAATGCCTATGCGTTTGGGCACCGGTTTCTTTGATTTGCTCCAGAAGTCAGACGAAGACATCGACCAATTGGTGACCAGACCATTGATTTTTGACGACAAATCTCTTCACAATAGCTTCTCCTATGAAATCGACGAAACATTTGCTCCACAGTTGCAGTGAATTGAATCCACGCTGTATCTCATCACTTGAAATATTTATCGCATTTTATGTTATTTTTAAAAATCTTTTGAAATTAATTGTATTTTTGTAAATCAATTGTAAAACACATAAATATAATAAAAGTTGTATTAAAATCTAAATACCGTATTACCATTTGACGCAATAAATGTTAAATTAGTGCAACAGAAATATTTACAGAATTTCACTAATGAGTCATATTCTGTATTGTATAGGACTTCAAGAAATTAATGATCTCCACATCATTCAATTGTATTATTACTTAATTATAACAAACATTTACTTTATTTGTATAAATAGTCTATTTTCCAAATGATTGAGTTTCCCAATGAGGGCTGTCTTACAGTGGATGGACTGATGGGCACCTGTTATGCGAAGACTGAATGCGATCTTTTCAAAGGAATCACACGAGAACCAGATGTGTGCCATTTAGTGGACACCCAATTACTTCCATATGGGACTGGAAGGGGTGATGTTATCTTAAACCACATCCCATTGTCTAACAAATTGTCTCACAGTTTGCAACAGAGTTACATAACAAAAGACATCGAAATACAAAACATTAAGAGTTTCGACAGATTTTACAGAAAAGCTCTGAATATCGATCGAAACGATAAGACAAGTATTCCTCTCATAAGTGAGTCCCTATGCTGTCCATCAGACTTATGGCTCATATTAAGTGATCTTAAATCGTACCACAGGCCCGACCAAACCCTTCCAGATGGGGGTCACCACTGCCTACCAATTCTGTAGTCATAAAAACTTAATAAAAGTTGTATTAAAATGTGAAACATTTGACGCAATAAAAGATGGTTTGTTTGAATGAAGCGCTCATTGAATGGAGTGATGGATGAGTGCAACGATTGGCTCAAAAGCCAACCATTTATACAATGACTGAGTTTTCAATGATTTTCAATACTTTTTATGGATTTGTTTTGACTTTCTCAAGCATTTCATT